TCTCCGACTCAGGTTATATTATAAATAATATGCACAATTATAACATTACATGTTCCTTATACGTTGTAACCGCATATAGGAAATCATTAACATTGTAAATTTGCGGTCGTATCTATGTGGTATTTTGATCCACATGATCGAATCGAATCACTAAATTTCGCATCGGCGGAAGCCGGTGGTTCTCTGATTGTGTAATTGCTGTTGCCTTGCTATTTAATTTTTCGTGAACACGTAATGGTTATAATGCTTTTGTCTCTACCCGATTATTTTCACCGAATTTTTTTCATTAAACCAACGAGCGCCAATAAAAATTTGTTTCGCCTTTTAATAGATTGCATCAGCATTATTTATAATCAACATTGCGGTTTCAATAAATTACATTTAACATGATTTTTCAATAAAAAAATATTTGGCCTGTGAATCACGTCAATTTCGTCATTAAAAATATAATTAACTATATTATAGATATTAAAAATGTTAACTGTTTATATGACAATAATACTAATTATCAATGTTTTTAGTTATTTGTATCTACCCTCATTAAAACAAACATGGGTTTGTATATCCAAACAATCAAACCGTAAAGAACCGTAAAGGTGCATCGAGGTATACAACGTAGCATAACGCAACGTGACGTAATAACAAGAAAGTTCTATGTACGTAAACATTGAACTCAGTTAAACGCAATGTTGTCGTAAGATAATGTTAGAGCGACTCGCCAAGTCCTGAAGGAAATGCACTGGGCTACGAGAGCAAGGAGAGGAGGGGAGGGAGGGGGGGGACACAGGAGGGAAACACGTCGGGAATTTGAGAGCGTGCTCTCATCCTGTGGCCGTGTTAGGAAATTGCTCTCCTCTGTGTGCCACGCTGCATCCCGCATCCGTAAATTAGAATGCTGCGGTGACGAAGCCGCGAGTGTGAGTACGCGCGGGTATTACCGGCATTAGTGTGCCGCACGGCTCGCAACCGGTTAGATCCAATTTAATGTTCTGCTCGCTCTCCTTGGGTTTCAGATCTGGACACGATGCTGTACGGATACACGAACAGCATATACGTGCTGGACCACACGCCTGAATCCTTGCCGGTGAGTACAATTCGGCACGTAATGGGCCACTTAGGTACAGCTGTTATTGCGATCCTCTCGTGATCCGGGAACGCTTCCTTTCATAAATCATCGCGATCACAATTGTAAGCGAAGCTGTTTGTGTATGTCTCGCATTATCGTTAATTTATCGTACGTTTTTAAGCGTTTGCGAATATTAATAAGTTAATTATAGTCCGAGTCAGTAGTCACCTTAGTTACTTGATAGCTAGATTATACTATATGCAAGTAGCAATTTCATGAACGTGCTGTCTTTGGACAGAATAGCTTTCTTACTTCATTATAAAACAAATGTTGCGGCTTAACGCGCACATATTTGAAGAGAATTAATTCAGAGAGCACACCTTTCGTCAACGCTGTACAATACGTAATCAGCGTAATCAGCCTGTGAACTACAAATGCTGGCTGCAAAATGCACCCGTTTACTGTAACTATTATCGTCGAAATCACGAGGTGGAGTCCTGTGGTCGAAGTGGTAAACAGGCTAGATAACGTAAACATAGGAATAATGTCGAAGCGCGTTACAAAATATTACTCTTATCTAACTGTGAAGCCGATTACATCTATCGCGAGAAGAGCAGATTTGCAGGGTGTGATAATTTGGGTAACTCGGAAAATTCAGTCCTCTCGCAAAATAAGCAATTATTCGATACCATTATTCCATGTTCTAATAGGTATGCGATTCTCGATTAGATCCATCAATTATTGCTATAATTGCATAGCCAAACTCTGCGCTATTCCATGCATAATAACACATAGATCCCAATCATGATAACCGATTAATTGAATATTCGTGACATAATTAATCAAACAATCGTATAACTGTAATTTGCGAGAATCACGTTAGATTTCGCGATCAATAGCAATAGTATTTAATTGATATTCATTAAACGAGAGTTTAATTAAATTGTATGAAAGGAGATGCGCTAACTTTGATATCAATTAAATTAAAGTAGCATATACGCGGCCTTCAAGTTTCAAGACTATTAATATGTACAAGAGCTAAACAATCGCGAACTACGAATCTATGTAATAAATCCTTAAAATATTTACTAGCAAATGATCATTTTTACTAAATAATCGTTTCAGAATAGTTTGCATATACAAATTAACGCAAATCTATTTAGATAGATCTATCCATTAGCCAGCTCTGCTTGTGTTGTTCGTAGATAATGTTAATCGCAGTAATGCATATGGAATAGGAACTGATATGAGATAAACAAATAATTAGCTGTGTGTTATATTAGTGTTATATTATGCATTGTTATTATTAAATTAGAATTGTATTATATTAGTGAACGTGAAAGCTTTTGTGACTATCTAACGAATAAATTAATGTACTGGATTTCCTATAATTCATCACTGATCATTTCGAGATCATCAGTATTTTTTTAAATTGGATGAAACGTTTTCATTAACATAATAATGTAATTCATAAAATACAAATTTAACCATATAAGATATAGATTAAAATATTATATTACTAGATTTATTTATTAGATATAGATTAAAATATTATATTATTATATTACTAGGTTAATGAAAATATGTCATTTTATTTAAAAGAATATTGATAATCTCGAAATTTCATAAGATAATAGGCATTAAAAAAATGCTGCTTATATCATAATTATCTCTTCGAAATCAACATTTCTTTTTTTCATATTATTAAAAACAACAGAGATCTGAATGATCAAATTACAAGAAGTATCCTGTATAATATGAGAAATATATCAATTTTATCAAATATCGTTTTACAGCAAAATTATCTGCCAGTAATATGTTTTACTATAATAACTTTTATAACACAAAATATATAATAAATAGAATCCACTCATAAAAAGACCGTATAAGACTCTAATTATTGACACTTTTTCGCGAGGATTAGTTTTTTATCATATTATTACAATATAATATATCAATAAATGATGTTATATCAGGACGAAGTATATATCCTAAACTATAAGTTTATCCATTTTAGGGCAACGAATCTATAAAGATATATCCAACTACTTTTATAATAAATACATAAAAATAATTTAATGTAAGTTTCATAGATTTGTTACCCCAATAAAAAAAAAATGTATTACTCACCGATACGATGCGCAACAGCGGAGTTAATCTGTAACGTAGCTACGATGATTCTGTAACACACAAATAGAATATGCAAATTACAACAACGTTTCTAAATAATAGATATTTTAAATGTAGTAGTTTAAGTTAAGTAATTTTTACATATCGAATCTACTTTTTTTTCAATTAGATATTTATTAAAATAATTATATAATTAAAAAAAATCTTTAATAGATCTTTAAGAAATAAATTCATATTAAATTTTAACTTGTTTTTCTTTCCCGAATTATAAATTTTAAATTATTGAAATTTAATGATGCAAATAAACGAAAAAAAACAATTAGTTTAATATCGAGTTTAATATCGAAGAAAAATATATTTACCGCAAGGTTGCTCCGCCGGTGCCCGATGCCTGTCCTCCTCCTCCTCTCAAAATGTCGGGTCGTCGAATGTCCTCACAGCACAGGACACTCGCGAAAAACACTCGCGAATTATTATAATCGCGCGTGGATTAACTTTCAATAAAAGTCTTTCGCGCGATACTTGACTCCGCACTTCGCGTTTAACTGCCCGTAAAAATATCAAGTTCGTTACGTGAGGACTACTTAATGAGATCCCGTGCCCCCTGCACCCCTTGACAGTGCGACTCCCGGACAGTCCGACGAACTATGATTTTTCGAACGAGCCTTCGCAGGATGAGGAAAAGTCTTTTAGTCCGATCACGGCACTCCCGAAACAAACGCGCGACGCGACGAACTGGCTGCAGTTCGTTCATTCACAATTAAATCGACGGCGGAATGTCGGTTCAAAATGAAACGCGTGAAACGCATTAATCAATTTTGCCACATAAGAGCCATTTCACGACTCGTGGCTATGCTGTGTTAATACATTATTAATAACAATAATATTACCTAATGGAAATATTAATGTTACTAATAATCGTGCAACGGGTACTGGTTAGCTTCTTCGTCTTTGAGATGCGTACCCAAGTAGCACAAATTGATCGGCAAATTGATCAGCCAAATCATCGAACCAACAGTGGCTAACGTCTAGTCAGTATTTTGCCGACTAATAGTGTTACTTGAGTAATCCCTCAGAATACTGAGCCCCTCTGCCACGTCAAGGCCGTGCCCATTAGAGGGGTATTATTTACAAAAAGTTATGAAT